TGGATATCGACTACGTGGCCTTGCTCCTCACCTCCACAAAGCTTAATCTGTCAAGATCGCCGATGTCATGCTACGTGATAATGCATCTTGTTCCTATTCTAAAGCAAATACGGAAACAAGGCACGAGACCCAGATGATACAATTGCTGACACGGAATCGTTACTTGTTCTTATCTGTAATTACGTGGGGTTCATCGGCATCTTTGCCGAGAGCCAAGAGACACACAGACTGCCAGATTTATCCCTTCTGCACACTACCTGGTTCATGATAACCAGATACGGTGAGCAGTGAGGGTGTGTAACATCATCACGGACCAAGATATTTCGGGGAAGCTGACAGACGACGCATTGGGTGCCCCTGCCTATCTGAGCACGGTGAGCGAGGTGACAATAGGAAACAGACAAACTAGGCAATAACTCACAAGATACAAGACTCGAGTAGGAAGTAAGAACCAGATTGACAACAAGTGTAGCTAATGAGATTATGTCCCACTGACGGCGGACAAGGATTCTGACTGTCTCAGAGGTCATGGCCAAGATAGTGAAGAAGTATAATAACGGGTGAAAACGGCCGGCTCTTGGCTAGATTTAGACCATAAAATCAATATTCTTGATGAGATTCACTTTCACCATTCACAACCCTCTACTCACTCAATAAAAGATACTACCCATTGCAAAGACTACTAAGTCAACAAGATGGGCTCCCTTCATATTGAACCTTCACCATCACCTGCCTTCTCTTCCGTGCGCTCAGCACTGGCTCAGAACAATAACAGAATTATCCTCTGTGAATCCCATGATGGTACCTCAACGGAGATCATCAGAGCAACCGTTGGCAAGAACGGCCAGAAGTTCGACGGCATCTGGTACAGCGGTCTCTGTCAGACTACCTACCTAGGTATTCCAGACAGTGAGACCCTCTCCCCTCTCCAACGGGCATCACTCCTCGCTCTTGACGGGGAACTCAAGCGCAAAACAAGCAACCGCTCCCTCTGCGCCGCGTTTGACGCAGATAGTGGTGGTGATATTGCAGACATCCCTGCCTTGGTCGCCCTTATGAACCTTGTTGGCGTCGGCATGATTGTCATCGAGGACAAGGCCGTTTCAGCCCCTGGCCAAAAGGTCAATTCCCTTGCGGCGTCATCTGCTTCACAGGCCCTGGCTGATCCTCACGAATTCGCGGGAGTAATCCGCGCTTTCAGAGAGGTGAATGCAAAGGCCAAGGGAGGTCCCATGATCACTGCTCGTATCGAATCCTTCTGCTGCCGTGTCTCTAAAGCAGATGCGGAAGAGGAAAGCAGATCTTACGAGGCTGCACACCAAGATGCCCTGAAGCGAGCCAAGATCTACCATGAGGCGGGTATCGACGCTATCATGATCCACTCCAAGAGTAAATCCCCTCATGAGGTTACTCGGTTCTTGCGCGAGTACCGCGAGTTTGACTCCCAGACTCCTCTTGTTGTCGTTCCCACTACCTACTCTGAGATACCCAGGGATGCCCTCTACGAGGCTGGCGCCAACGTTATCATCTACGCTAATCACTTGATGCGTGCCAAGATTAGCGCTGTTGGTTCTATCTCTGACAAGATCTTGGCCAAGAACTTAGACCTGTTCTACAACGACGCTGAGATACGAGCTATGATTCAGGCTCGCAACTACGGTTGCCTTCTCAGAAAGCTGCGGAACCGTAGTGTTTGGGGCGAGGAGAGCAATGAGGCAAGGATGTACAGAATTGTCGCGGAGGCGACGGCCTCGGAGAACATTCAGGCTACCGTGGTCGACTTGCTAGAGGGGCAGCTTGCGGGGTGCGAGGCAGACACACGCATTGTCAGCGTCAAGGAACTTCTCAAGATTAACGCGAAGCAGGTGGTTCCTGTAGCGGAGCTTGTTACCCAGGTAGACGTTTACTAGATTAGGTTAAGCTTATTTGACTGTTACTAAACTGTCTTATCTTACTGCAAATCTCTCCGGGACATCTTCATGCATGTTGTTCAATAATCCTACCCTGCGATGTACCATGTAACCCTGACCTGTTAGATGAACAATGGTGCTGCGTACACATAATGACAATTATTAAGAGAATTACATATTGCAAGTTGCAATCCTTGTTCAAGAAACACGTATACATGCGAGGAGCCTTTCAGTGCCATCGACCTTGCTTATCTGATGTTCGGGTTCTGTACCCCGTCCGAAGGGGCAGGACTCTCTATCCTGAATTGGGCAGCTGGCATTCTGGTATCTTGCGTAATGCTATCTTGAGTTGCGACATCTCGAGTTTCATGCAATTGCATAGTAGGTGGGTGTTGGGTAGTACTGCATATGGTCAAGCTGACTACAGGTTGTCAACATTAACCGCACGGATCGTCGGCAAATGGAGGGGTGAGGGTCCTTCGGTGGCGTGACGCTTTTGACTGTCAATATGTAACGACACATCTGGAGCGGCACACAACGGATCTGTAGACGTGGCGTGATTGAGTAAGACTCCAGGATGTTTTGAGTAACAGTGATGCTGCTAATTCAAGCATATTGGTGCCAAGATAGACACTTCAAGTAGTCCAGATTATAAAGGCATGTTGGCATCTTTAAAGCATCGTAGAGGCCAACCAAACAAAGGAGGTACAAACAACCATAACTATCCAATACACTTTTACACTTCAAACTTGACGCTTCCAACATGGCTCCCGGTCTCATCGAAACAGTCAGCGATTTTTCGCATCTCCCTAAGACTGAGTACCGCACCAAGCTCGAGGTGAAGCCCAAATCAGCGCTCTTCCCTGATGGCTACAAGACTACTGGCCAACAGCCCCCTCTCTACGAGGAAATACACCCATACTCAGACTTCCCCAAGAAGATCACTGGCATAACAGCCTGGACCAAAGATGATCTATCAGGCTCTCCTGAGAAGGAAGCTATCTGGAAGCATCCCTTCACTCCGGAGGAGCTCGAAGACCTGAGCACGGCTGCCGAGAACTACATCAACAGTGGCAGAGACTTGAACGAGATGTGCAAGGTATGAGTCAAGTATTGCATGAGTACCCGTACTGACATGTCTGTTCAGGAGCTGTTTCCTCTTCCTCGCATGGAGAAATATCTTGAAGAGGTCCGAGATGATATGATCAATGGATACGGATTCATCTTGTTTCAAGGAATGCCTGTCAAGGAATGGGGAATGCGCAAGTCTTCGACGGCTTACATGGGCTTGGGCGCTCACTTTGGGCATATCGTTAGTCAAAACGGTAGGGGCCATGTCCTGGGGCATATCAAGGACCTGGGTGAGAACCCGGCGGATTTTCATAAGGTCCGGCTGTATCGAACCACTGCAAGGTACATGACTCGAGACCTTACTCGGCACTTAGACTTACTCATATACTAGACAAACCTTCCATGCTGACCCGGCAGATATCGTTGGCCTTCTTTGCCTCAATACCCCGTTGAAGGGAGGTGAGAACAACATCGTTTCGGGCCATCGGGTCTGGAACGTGATGCAGGAGGAGAGACCTGATATCGCAGAACTTCTCACCCAGCCCATTTGGTACTTTGACCGAAAAGGAGAAGTCAGCGATGGACAAGAGGATTACATCCGATGTGCCATTTATTACATTGAGAAGGGAAATGGCAGGGTCTACTCCAAGTACGTCAACTCACTCTTTCGCTACAATTATGAAGCCACGATGCTTACACTCTCCATCAAAGATTCGATCCAAACTACGTCAGGTCTCTGAAGCGATTCTCTGACAAAGGCGTCATCCCGCCTCTCTCCGATGCACAAGCAGAGGCGATCGAGTTCTTCGACCAAACTTGCTACAGAGAATCCATCGGTAATGTACTTGAGGTTGGAGATGTTCACTTCATGACAAACAACCATCTCTACCATTCTCGCCAGGCCTACACTGACCATGAGCCACCCGCTCCCCGTCGTCATCTCCTGCGGCTGTGGGTCTCTACGCCTGAGAGTGAAGGGGGATGGAAACTTCCGTATCACGATTCTGATTGGAAGAGGAGGGGTGGGGTGCAGGTTGATGATCGGCCTCACAAGGTTTTGCTCCACGCAGACTGAAGATAACGCTTTCCGAGGCTGTATTCGTGGGATCATTACCCTTGGATGATAATTGCTCAGGGCTATGGCAATATGTAGACATGTACTCCGTATCGCTAGAATGAACAATGATATGATATATGGGCTGTTGACCTGCTTCGGTCTTATTCGTAGCTTTACGCGAGTGCCATTTGTGAACCTTGATAAAAGCCTTCTTAAAACTGAATGACCAACTGTGGGGTCAGCCAGGGTCCATTGAAGATCTTGATCAACCTTGACAAAGCTTGTTCTCAGGGTATGCTTATATGCATCAAGACTCACGGCCCGGATAAAGCGGTATCTCAAAGTCGTAAGCACGCGATCAATTTCCCAATACTGCCTAAGATTGCTCGGACTCAAATCTCCCGGTGTGGTGACACAGCAGTTGCAGGGGCTAAGGCGTGCTAAAGCGGAGATAAGAAATTTGAGGAGACAATTTGAGCTGGTGGGTATGGGGCAAGTCTAACTGGGGAGAGGGAGTACAGTACAGTATTAGTGGCACGCCCTCCGCGGCGAAGGATTGGCTGCGCTCCGTGTTTGCATACTGCATTGCTACCGATGCGGGTCTGAGGTGCCGTAATATCCGTTGCTGTGAGGAAACAAAGCTGTACTTGTCTGATACGTCATTTGGCTTGTTTTCTCTCAGGTTGTGAATCCTTGGGTCTTGATTCAAAGGCCGTCTTTGTGGTGATTGTCAGATCTTTGCCTAATCTGTTGTTCTGGTGCCATTGGCAGGGCGTAGGCTTGGGAGGCTGGCAGATGAGGGGTCTTCTGTATGCCCCGCCAAGCAGCACTCGTCGTACAGTACTGTCATCGCGACTCTCTCTTCTCTTCCAAAGCAGACATTCAGTACCATTGTTCAAGCTTCACTTTGCGTTCAAAGCCGATTCAATTGATAGCGTATTCGCCACAAGCTATTCACCATCATGGCCAGGTAAGCTGATCATGTTCCCTCGTCTTCCTTGCGAGTGATTGACTGATGTGATTGTCGACGGGCAGACCCGAATACCAGCCTGTGTCTCGAAATAATGTCGACCGAATCCCGCTCGTTGAGCCGAGCGCTTCAGTCGGTGACGACGCATCCGACTCTGACCTCGAAAACGACATCGCCATCAGCGAAACCGAATTAAAGCGCGACCATATTCCCAGACGAACCCTCATTCGTGTCCTGGCAGCTAACGGGGTCATCCAAATACCAATCTGGGGTTCGTCTTCCTCTAGCCTTGTGTTATACGTCTACTGACAGAACACCCAGGCTTTGCAATTAGCTACGGCGTATTGGAGGAATATTACTTCAACAACTGGACTCTCCAGGGAAACAAAGATATCACGGGCGCTATCGGAACAACAGCTAATGGCATCATGTACCTCTCCATGCCCTTCCTCTTCGCGCTGTTCACAAGACGATGGGCCTACCGGCGTCAAGAGGCTGCTTTCTGCGGTGCCCTCATAGCTTCCATCAGCTTCTTCCTGTCAACGTTTAGTACAAATGTTTGGCACCTGCTCGTCACGCAGGGTATCACCTCAGCGTTTGGTTGCGCACTCATCTACAGCCCCATTACGCTCTCCCTGGGCGAATGGTATACTACCAGCAACCGATCCGTGGCATACGGACTGGTCTTGTCATGCAAGAACATTGTTGGAACTTTGGGCCCATTCCTCTTCAAAGCTTCACTTGATACGTGGGGCTTCCGAACAACTATGACGGCCTGGGCGGTGTTCGTCGGCGCAGCGAGCATCCTCAGTATCAGCCTTGTTCCCATTCCACCATCAAGAATTGCCATGCACAAGACGCCAGAGAGGAATATCCCGTGGCACTTTCTCAAGCACCCCGCTATATACTTTTATAGTATCGCAGTCTTCTTCCAAGGAACTGGCTATGGTTTGCCTCAGACATACCTGGGTACTTATGCCCAAGACTTTAGTCTTTTATCGGAGACAATGGCAACAACTGTCTTGGCTTTACAAAACGCCGTCGGGATCCTTGCATCCGCTTTCTTCGGATGGCTCAGCGACAACAAGCAAATCGTGCTGTCAGCGCAAACTGTGTCGGCAATTCCATGTGTAACTAGCGGCCTAGCCGTGTTCCTCTTTTGGGGAAACACTACTCAGGGAGGTGTTTTTCTCTTGGTTCTCTTCTCCATCACATTCGGCTTCTTCTCAAGTGGGTACAGTGCTACTTGGGGAGGTATCCTCAAACAGATGGAGAACGATTCCGCAGACAGGGGGGAGTCTATAGATGCTGGGCTGATATACGGTCTTATAAACGGTGTAAGAGGCATAGGGTATCTCGTTGGGGGTGCAGCGAGTGTATGGCTAATCAACGCTGGCACGATTTCCGACTGCCAACACTTTGGGTATGGTAGTAGTTATGGGCCGCTTATCCTCTTTACGGGCCTTGTTTCTCTTGCCGGAGGCTGGGTTGTGATCTGGAGCTGGTGGCCTGAGTCTTGGACCTTTGGACGGCGCAATTGAGAGGTAATGATGCCATGGACAGATTCAACTTCTAGATATTTACACAAGAACTGATCGATTATGTGCAATGGCTTGTAGAGAAAGATTGTTTCACTTTTGATTCACTCAAAAGGCAGGTGAAAGAGTCAGGGCAACCTACCCGCAATGACTGATAGCACCACACAATGCATCAAACGAAAGACGAGGGTGAGAGGGCCAGAGCTCAATAGTCAGATAATGAAGTATCATTACAAGGCAATGTATTTTATTATAACTCTAATACTTAAAAATGACCTGGAAGTCTTGGCCAAAGCCACTATCCCTTGTAAACTGTTCCAGTTCCGTTATATATGCCGTTCCATTATCGTATTCAAGCTTGGGCAACAGCCCTTTTTGCTTTCCTTTATCAGCATGAAACTCCACGCTCTTGGGCGCCTTGCGAAGACCGGCAACAGTTATGTTCACAAGAGGAGGCCTGACCTCGTAGTCACCAGTGGTTTCCGCTCTAAGAATACCCTTCCTGAAAGTGTACTAAAGGGTTTAATTAGTCAAACTGTTCAATAGAGGGATCAATAACAATTTCACCTACTGCGACAGTTTTAGTAGCTTCTGGCTCGAGGCTGACGCCATCATCAAAATACACAGTTCCTTCGGCATACTCATTATCGTCGAGGGCCAAGAGCAGTGAGAACGGGTTCCTTCTTGTCGCTGCTGTTGTATTACTGGGCTTCTGCAACGTGAATATTGTGCCTCCTCTGATGTGTAGATTGATATGTTCCAGAGGAGCATCAAGGGTGACGTTCTCCTGGGGTTTGGCATGGACTTCGTTCAATGTGTACCAGTCATACCATCGTGTTCCTTCTCCAATTCCAGGAAACACGCCCCTGACTGTGTTGGAGTTTGGAGTGAGAACAGGTGTCACTAGAAGGGATGGGCCCAGAAGGAACTGTGAATAGGTGGCCTTCAGTGTCTCGTCATTCGGGAATTCCCATGCCAAAGCGCGCATGACAAGATCGCCTTGGGTATTGGCATAGTGAAACAGAGTGTAGATGTAGTTGAGGAGACTATATCTTATCGCTATAGCTCGACGCGAAGCCTCAGCAACAGACGACCAGACAAACGCTTCTTGGGATATGGTACCGCCCATATTGTGATTACGATAAAAAGGCATGAAGGCTCCCAGAGACATCCATCGAGCACAAAGGTCAAAACTGGCGTTATGGGAGTAGCCGCAGATGTCAACACCGAACATTGGAATGCCAGCCATCATGTGAGTTAGAGCATGCGAAATAGATAGGAACATACTACCCCATCTCGATGAGTTATCACCGCCCCATCTTGTAGCATATCGACCAATGCCAGCAAAATTGCCACGGGCGATATTGAAGGGACGGCGACCAGGGAATAGCTCTAGCAGCCCGTGGTAGGTCGCATTGGAGATCTGATTGCCAAACAGATTATGCAACTGGTATTCAGTGGTGTTCAACTCATCGTTGTGAGTTGCATCTGGAGAGATGGTCATTCTCCTGATGGAGTGGCCTGGTTGTAGACTACAATGACGATCAACATATTGTGTGAGCAGGATAAGGGAAGCTGACTTACTTGTTAAGAACATAAGGTGGATAAGTAAGGTTTCTGATACCAGGTGTCGGCTCCGTACGTCCTAGCGTGCTAGTGGCTGGAACTTGGAAGACATGGGCAGCCTCGACCTCCGCTGATTGATTGGCTGCAAGCTCTTTTGCTTTTTCGAACTCGGAGCGATTAGTCACACTGAAGCCATCTGGATACTCATAAAACATTCTGAGCTTCTCCCCTGGGATCAGGAACGGAACATGAACGGGGTTCATATCCAGACGACTATTTCCGCAGGGGCCTACGCAGTACGAAGCGGGCTCTGTAAGATCAGAGAGCATTCCATCGTAAGGCACGCTATCGTACCATATCTTCAGCTCTCCGGCCCACCATTTGTGTGTCTCGGGCAGCATAAAGTCTCCCCAGACAACGAACCCAGGCCAGTTGTTGCCTGTGTAGAAGTCGCCCGACTCTGGATCTCTGATGAATGCTTTGAGCTTTGCGCCGCGTTCATAGGGACCATAAGTATCCTTTGGATCATCAGGATTAGGACGGTATATGTTGGCCCATACAAGCGGAACGTAGTACTGCTCGTTCTCATGGAGCCAGTCTACCCACTTTGCCATACGATCAGGCGGGAAAGTGACAGGGTTATTAGCGAAGCTGCGGAAGCCATCAAACATGTCAAAGTCTGACCAAATAGCCTCGAGAGGAATGTCAGCGGCTCTGTAATTCTCAACCACAGCCTCGATCTTATCGAGGGTGTCATATCCCAATCGACACTGGTGAAAGCCAAGTGTCCAGAACATTTGCATCGCAGGTAAGCCAACGCAGCCAACGTGATACTGGCGCATGGTCTCAATAGCTGTAGACCCTCCTTGCTTGTTCTGGCCGCTGAGGAAGTAGAGGTCAACACTTCCACCGATGGTGCGGTATGTCAATGTCTCTGGCCTCAGAAGCCATTCTTGACCATGAGCATTTCGGGCATATACACCATGAGAAGTGGTGTTACTGCCCTTGTGGTATCTACTCTCCTGGTAGAATGGATGGACACCATAGATGTTTCCGTCTATAGGGTTACCGTGCTCTATGCCAGCGTCATTGGTCCAGAAGGTCTGAGTGAAGTTCTGCCCCAGGCGGAAATCATGGATGTTCTCAGCTGTGACAAATGTTAGCTTCGTTTATACATGCACCTTGGCGGGTACCGAACCTAGTCCATAGACGTTGTAGTCGAGCTCCATACTGGTTACCAGCTCAATGAATTGGTCCTCGAATACGATGACATGGCCGTACGTTGAGAACAGGACCTCACTATCACAGCTCCTGGTGATTTTGAATTGGAAGCTCGGTGAATTACTGTGGTGAGTGAATCAGCTTATATGAAGGACCACGGAGCAACTCAATGACTCACGTAAACTCGAATCTGAGGTCACTATTCGAGATTGTCGTCTTCTTATCTCTCTCTGGCTTGAATACAAGTGAGTCTAGTAGGATATACTGGGTTCTGTTCTGTTCAGACAGATACTTGGGGAGTATCTTGACATTCAGTCTCTCCTTTGTCTGATACTGAACTTCGAGTACCAGGTCACGAATGTCATTGCCACTATACATAGTCAGAGGAGTGATATACTGAGTGACGTGAATACGTACAACGCCTGGCAATTAGGTCCAGCTATGGTCAAGTCTGCCTTCACACCTCTGAGATCCCTCTTAATATTTGTTGCCTTGTAGCCAGGACATTTCTGTGGGTTGGGTGCATGAGGGTCCCGGAAAGTTGGTGTCAGACTGGGAGCGACCGCAATCTCAGGCGAGGCCGTCTTGGACTGAACAACAGTTGAGGTTGACGACTCAGCTACAGGTATCTATTAATGTGCCATTCTCGGCTACAACCTTGCTGATGAGTGCGTACCTTGCGCTGTGACTATGAATGTTATTAAAGCCAGAAAATACTTTAACATTATGATATTCGATGTACTCAACGACAGAGGACGAAAAGAGACGCAGTATGGCCGCAATGAATTTCAGCACTACGTGAGCCAGTCTTGCGAGGTTTGCTGCGCGCGATCCTATGAGACCAATGCTTATCTTTCAACCAAACTTGGTAAATTCGGACTTGGTAAGGTGAAGCGACAATTCACATCCAGAATAGGTGAGCTCCCCGAGACGTAGACTTCTGATATGTGCCCCTCAATCCCCAGCCGGTCTTCCGGCCACATCCAGACAGCGGGTCCTTTCATAGCGCGGCGCGTATAGATCCCAGATGGCGATGCCATCATTGCCATGAATCGTGATATTTTTCATCCCTCCACTATTTAGCGTAGGAGGTGTAGGGTTAGTAAAATGCAACGTGGACAAGAGCCCGCGTCTCACGGATATCTCGGCACGGGCGTGTCTAGGGGCGGCAACTGAAAGAAGCATAAGATAGTGCCGGGTAGTAACTGACGCCAGGGTTTGCGAGCCGTACCCGTAGTCTTGCAGGAGTATGCAACGCTGTGTGAAAATCGACAGTGTGAAAAAGACTGAAAGGCTAGCCAACTTATGCAAATAGACCCCTGTCATTTCACGGTCGGGGTTTGAGATACACTGAACCCACTAACCAATTCCGCTCCGGCCCCTATCGCGGTTGGTTCCGCCTCAAATGATAAGCGGGGAGCTACTCCGTGATTTAGTGGTCAAACCCCGGATTGGGGCACATACATGCATGGTAAGACAATAGGACAAGGCCTTAGTCGCGTGGGTACTCAAATCCAAATTGATGATTTCAAATCCTTCCAATGATGCCATTGTCCCTGTTACTGATGCACAACACCATGAAACAGCTAATCTTCTCTTTGTTGTATCTCGGTGCGACACATCCTTTCCAACACTTATCATGCTTGTTAGAAAGCTTATGTTGCATTTTCGTAATCTCAAGCCTCGACACCCCCATTCCCGGATGACATGATGATCCTCGTGCGCTCGGACAAACATTGTGAAACTTGTGCTCAAAGTATTACAAGAGAGGTACAATTACCGGCCACAGTAACGAGCTGCACTCGGGGGTACTTTCTCAGCTAGTAACATTTACGAGATACCTCAATCAAGCAGGCCACGTCATCTCGGCATGTACTACCGTAGTATTGCAGACGGACTGATACTCTTTGATGAAAGAAGCTGTGGGCTCACTGCATGTAAGATGTATCATCTTGAAAGGGAAAGTTGTCGCATGATCATGGTCATGGTCTTTTGGAAGTGTAGAATATCCAGGGTTGGGAGTTCGCGCCGACTCCGCATGCCCGAAAACTTGCCTGCCTTCGTGGGGGCAAGAGACCGTTCCATGTATCATTACTACAATCAATAAATCACTTCCATCATGCCGTCTACAATAGCAAAATTCTCTTACAACACTTTCAAAGCCACCATAGATCTTACGCAGTGCAACCAACATGACTACCATTGATCCTCGTTTGTTCTACGAGCAGGCACTCGTCGAGAATGGAATCACTCATGCCTTTGGTGTCCCTGACTCCTGTTTGAAGGGATTCCTAGCGTATCTATACGCGACCAAAAAGTCGCCAGAACAGATCGTCACAGCCAGTGAAGGTGCTGCTGCTGCGCTGGCTGCAGGCTACTACCTGTCAACTCAGAGTCTCGCCGTTGCATACATGCAGAACTCGGGTCTTGCGAATGCCTTGAACCCTCTACAGTCCCTAGCAGCCAAAGAAGTATTTGGAATTCCAATGCTTCTTATGGTCGGCTGGCGTGGACGCCCAGGAGAGCATGACGAGCCAGAACATCTCTTGGCTGGCCCTCGCACCTTGGAAACTCTGGAGTCACAGGGGTTTCCTTATGAGATCCTACCAGACACTCTTGAGAAAACCAAGGCTGCAGTCGGAAGACTCGTCAAAGCCGCCAAGGAGGGGAACACTCCTGTTGCCCTTGTCATCCCCAACCACAGATTCGCTGCATACAAGCCTGAGCGTGAAGCGAGTAATGGTGTTTGGCACCCAGCTGTCACAAACCTCGCCAAACATTCAATCAGACCTGAAGATTGGCGTTCATCTGAGGGTCAACCCCCTCTTTCGCGAGAATACTCTATTAGAATCATTCTCAAGAGACTTTACCCAGAGGATGTCACTGTATCTTCTGTTGGGGGTAATTCTCGTGAGATTTACATGGTTCGAAAAGAGAACAAAGAGGACCTGTCGCGTGCATTCTTGTCCATTGGAGCCATGGGCCACACATACCCTCTCGCCTTTGGCGTTCAGATCGGTCATCACAAAGGTCGCGTCGTTTGCGTTGAAGGCGATGGTTCCTTCTTGATGCACGTGGGCAATGTAGCCGTCCTTGCTGCCCAAGCCTCGGACAAGCTGATCCACGTTGTCATTCACAATGGCATTCATTGCTCAACTGGGAATCAGCCTGTTCCGATCAGCACCAACAACCTCCTTTCACTTTGTGGAAGTTTGCCTTACAAGCAGAAATTCTTTGTAGATAGTGCTGAAGGTCTTATTCAGGCATTTGAATGGGCAGATAAGACTGCTTTGATTGTTGTTGTCGTTAATCAGGACGTGTCAAAGGATCTGCCGCGACCCTCAGAGCATCCATTTGAATTGCGAGATGCGTTTATCTCCCATTTTACTAAATAGAGTGGCTCTTTGTTGGGACATTTGATTATCTAGATTGAAATCGACTTGATGGAACCCATATCTTTTGTTCGTGAATACCTTCGTAGAGATTTTAAAACTAATAGTGCTGTAAAGCTTCTGCAGCTTAGTTCATCGTTTTGAAATTCTTATGACTTGTGTCTGAGTGCAATCTGTTCCACACTCGATAATGTTTGGCTTGTTCCCTTATCTACGACACACAAGATAAAGACAACTCTGTAACTAACTCTTTGTACCCCGCAGTCGTGCAGCATAGTAAGCATTGATCGACAAGCAAACAGCACTAAATATGCGGTAATTTTGCTAGTATACAGGCTTCCGTAGTGGGGGTTCCGCCCCGCGCCCTTTGTCTGTTTGGTACAGTACAGGGACAGGTTCAGCGACAGGGTCAAGAAAGGGCCTATGTGCTGGTCGACCCCTCTCTTAAAAGGCCAGACAGTTTTTTCATCCCAGTGAAATCATTCAGTTTGCAACTTTCAGTTTTGGTGACCTTTTTACTCTACTTTGTCAACATTCTTGCATTAAACACCACCTACTTTCATCATGTCTCAAACGCAAAAGGCCCGTGTACCTGTCATTTTCGGTGCCATGACGTTTGGGAGAGATGGTAGGATAGAACTTTTATCAAGCGAGGAATGTTACTGATGTCAGTAGGGGTTGAGCAAGCACGTATCCATGACCTCAAGGAAGCTGGTGCCATGCTGGATCTTTTCCAAGAACATGGCGGCACAGCCATTGATACAGCTCGTGTGTATGCTCAAGGGTCTTCTGAGGAATACCTTGGGCAGCTGAACTGGCAAGCACGAGGTCTCCGAGTTGACACCAAGCTATACCCCAACATTCATGATGGGACTGGTAAAATCACCCATTCTGCCAATGATCTTCGGAAGCACCTAGAGGAGTCTCTCAAGGCACTCAAGACAGACAAGATAGATCTCTGGTACCTCCATGGACCAGATCGCGACACGCCATTTGAGGAGACTCTCAGAGCTTGCAATGAACTGCACAAGGAGGGCAAGTTCAACAGGCTCGGGGTGAGTAACTACATGGCCTGGGAGGTTGCCTATATGAGCGAGCTGTGTATCCGTGAAGGATGGATTCGACCTACAGTTTATCAAGGAGTATACAACGCCATCCACCGAACAGTTGAAATGGAGTTGTTTCCTTGCCTCAGGCACTACGGGATCACATTCTATGCCTTCAGTCCGTTGGCCGGAAGTCAGTTAACTGGACGGTACAAGCGGGACACTCAGGATACAGATATTGAATCCATGTCCCGCTTCGACCCAAACACTTTTCAAGGTCGCAAGTACAGGAGGCGATTCTGGAACGACGTGATATTTGATGCAATTGAGCTTATTAGGGGTGAAGCTGGAAAGCATGGGCTTACAGAGATGGATTGTGCTTTCCGCTGGATTGAACATCACTCACAGCTTGTTCCTGAGCGAGGCGATGCGGTGATCATTGGAGCCAGTAGTAAGAAGCAGCTGGAGCAGAACTTGGATCTTCTGGAGAAAGGACCTTTGCCTAAGGAAATTCTGGATGTTCTGGACAAAGCGTGGCTGACTACCAAGGGCAGTGTTAACAATTATTGGCATTAGTTGGCTGTTAGGTTCAAGGGTGCTTTACTACCGGCAGTCTAATTGCCACCTATGATTTCCGCTTAACTCTATTAATATTGCGATGGCCCGGCTAACCTGTCTTCCATATTAAACATGAGGTCTTTCATACGCCCTGCTACAGTACGTTGTTTGCTATCTTGTAAATGGTGTGATCCGGGGAGCGGGGAGTCAATGACCTCCGGTTTTCGGATCTCATTACACGTCCCAAAGATTTGGACATCTGATTGGTGGTAGGCCTCTGTTTGCTTGCGAATGTGCTGAAAGAGATTACGGCGCATGCGTATTACTGTTGGTTGCACTCCATCTCGGATAGGTCGGCATCAATGAGCAAGTCACCCTGCAGTGATAAACCATAGCAAACAAGTTTTAGGAATAAGAAAGAATCATATCATGCTACCCACATGCCAATCCAACTGCTTTTGGAAATGTGTCACAAGTGGTTGTGCCATTGCATTCTGTGCACTACTTTTGGCCCTGCCTTGGCTTGAGTCACCTGATTGCTTGACCTTTCCCCCTCGCAAACCTCACTACTCCAATGCCTGGCGTTTGAGACGCCCAGCACTTCAATTGTAATACAATTTCGCATTGCCAAAGCAGCTTTGATCATGACAGACTGGCAGAAAGCCGAGTATACTCTCTACTCGTCCCCCTTCTCTCTCTACTCAATGATGGCGCGTCACACCATCCAACTTGGCCCAACGACATATAATGCAACGCCACCTAAAAGCATCACTCTACACTTTATCAACCATAAGGCCCAAGAGAATCTCAGTGAAGATTACTTGATTAATGTCAACCCAAGAGGTCAAGTTCCAGCGATGAAGGGTAACTTCCTCAAAGAAACCCTTACTGAGAGTCGTGCCATATCTCTTCATCTCGCAGAGAAGCACTACCCTGCCATGCTGGGAGGCAAGAATGAGAGCATCGTCAGAGATCTCTTCGAGAGATTGCATGCTGTCTACGGACTATCAATCAGCAACCCAAAGCCGACAGCGGAAATGACTGAGCGAAATCCGTCACCAGTTGAAAAGATGCTCCAACGGACCGACATCAGTCCGCAGTATCGCGCCGCTCTCGAAGCAAAACTTGCCTTGTCAGTTTTACTTCAAGCACTATAAAGTATTGGACTTACGGAACTATTTAGTCACAACCGACATAACGCAATTGCGTTCCAACCTGGTGTTGTAGCTAAGCATCGCGCAGATCTCAAGACTATTTTCGAACAGGTCGTGGATCACCGTAAACGGAGTGGCTCTTATGGGGACCATGATCAATGGACCTTTGGGCCAGACATTGGACCGACTATAATCGACAGCCATCTGCTCCCTTTTACGTTGCGATGTCTGGAGGTAGGAAGCGATGATCTTGTACCTCTGGAGCTGCAAAATTGGGCCAAAGCAAAGGAAAAGAGCCCTTCATGGCAGAAAGTCATGCATGGAAAGCCAACGACGTATCATCCTTCCATGGGCCCCGTTGCAGAGATGTCTGAGATGATGACTCTTTGATGTCGCCGGTATGGTGCTGCTAATCTCTTTATAATAAGTTTTCACATGTCTTGTTAAAAGGGCTCTTCCTTCTGGCGATTCCCTATTGAGTACCTATGCCGCCTAATCGTATTGTTCTCACTGTGTACTGATAGAAATATATTGTCAATCTCTCTTTGTGACTACCTATTGCGTATCTTCGTAAAAGAACAAGTCAAGCGCAGAAGTGTCTATCATGAACAAGTCATCTAACAAGGGATCTTGAGTAGATCCTAGAAAACCCGTACTTGGATAGAAATCGGTAACTGTGTGTTGTGAATTCGAGATCGCATCAGCCAAGGCAGCATTTGGTTGTGTTTGAGCTTGTTGATCGCTCAACGCGGGTGAATCCTCGCGCAGATATCCATACGATGATGCAACACCAGGCAGATTCAGCTGAGAGTCAGCCAGTTGCCGATTATGTTGCCCAGATGGCGCAATGTGTTGCAGTTTCGTAGACGCCTTCTCAACTCTCTCTTCCCTGACCTTGGAGGCCCTCTGCTCAAGAACCTGCATCAACCCTTTCGCATAAGTCCAATACTTTACTAGCTCACGCAGGGTCGCAAGAAACGTGTCCAGTATGTGCCGCGATTTGGCAGCTAGCAGCGGCTTACTAGTGCTGATCTGGTTCAGAATGTAGATAGTTGCTGTGAACAGAACATGATTGCTGTATAACCATAATGAAGAGATCATCCTTTTGCCGAGTAGGACTTCGAAAACAGACGCAATCGCTACTGTTGATTCCCTGCAAAGGATGGCATTATCTTGTGCCTCGGGAGATTGATCCCTGATGCCAGGCTTTGGTGATGGGCGGTGGATCAGCAGAATGAAGTTATGATGGGTTAGGTGAAACAAAGACTGCCAGATATCAAGGTCGGAAAGTTTCAATTCCAGCCTTGATGGAAGGTCAAGCATCAAATTCCCAAGAGATTCGTCTGCTCTCTTGATAGCCTCAGCTCTTGCTTCCATGGAAGCTCGTGGTGACCAGCCATCTCTTATGGTCTGCGATATGATCTTGCAAAGCTTGGTGTGATAGGTGATGAACTCGAACTCTGCACTAGGGATCCCTTCGAGATCTGCAGGCTTCAGGTCAGCAACATCTGAGTCCCATAGGTTTCTGACATAGTTAGTAGGCATGTATCAACAGAATTATAGTTGTATGATGGACTCACATGGCTTGAGGCCGACCAGCTGAGGTTGCTGAGATTGTGTCAAACTGGAAAAGAACCCACCAGAGTCGGACATACTTTCGCTTGTAGACTGGTAGATTCGTGGAGTGGCTAGCGTCGCGGTGAAGTCCCACGGCCATTGCCGTCCTGATAGCAATTCCAATCCAATGCCAAGCATTGGCGTCAGAATACCACGTTAGCAGTAGCGGCACCTGTACGTAAACAAGCCTATCATGCCATGAATCACTCAAGACCAGAAATTTGGCTCTTCGGAAAAAAGCAGGAAGTAGAGGAAGCATACTCTCATCTTGAGATGCCAACGTGTGAGCTCCAACGAGTAGGATGGCGTTGAGGAGCGTCAAGCAGAGGGGGTTCATGCGATCCTGCTCCTGATATTGGGTCATGAATAGCTCCTCGTCCACAATTGGCCACCCGCGGTTAACGAGATCAAAATACGCTCTGATCAGTCTCATTTCAAGGACCTTGCTGGGTCGTATAAGGATCTCTTCTGGAATATTATGTGCTTCATACCAGTTCTCGGAAGAGTCCAACTGGCCGTTGCCGAAGTGAAAGACCTTATCAAGTCCGGTCTCAGATGTGCTCTGCCGCACGAGGTAATGGCAGTTGGAGAGCTCGGATCCGATGAAATGACAACGAGTCCGATGGCCGAGCTCGACCTCTGTTTTGTCATTGCGGTTCAAGAGGTGAGATCCCAGATCTTGCTCGCCATCTTCTCTTGCAGTGGAAGGTGGCTCAGTGACTACAGGTGATGGGGCCGCTGGTGAATTTGTGGTTTCTCGAGGGCGAAGAGGAGCAAGAATGGCCGGTCGGTTCATAGTTTTTCTCGTGTCCCTTTTGTTGGGACACATGCGGCACCCCGATCGGCCATGAGTGTTGCAATTCGTACATGGAACGCCTCTATCGATAATATCGCAGCGGATCTTTCGCTGCCGGCAGTTGATGCAAGCTCGCCCTTCAAGTGATGGTCAGCGATTGAGTAAAATGAGGCAATCAAGTACAGGGTAACCCACTCGTAGGTCCATCCGCACGAGGCAATTGTGACCTCTTGGCCGCTATATTCTGCGACCGGGGGCGATCGGAAGACATTGCTGTTGCAGTTGTGAGAAGTTGTTGTAGAGATGCTGTCAATCACTTAGAATGCCACAATGTTTGGCAGTCAGTCATGGGTCCCCGTGGTATTGTGCGAGAATGAGAGCGAGTTATTCGATTGTCTAATCTCGTTTAGTTGCCATCATCAGCAGCAAAGACGTGAGGCGTAACGGTGGCGCAGTGACCGGATGTGGCTAGCTCCAGCTTCAGTAAGCCTAACACTCCCAGCTCGATATTGGTTATAGATATTCACGATTGGAAGAGAGTGTATCAATTGACCTTACAGCCGTAAAATAATCGAAACAGTTTTCCGATACTGCGTTTTTGTGATATTTGTCATCTTGCCCTCAATTTTTGATTGTTATCTTGAGTCTCGGTATGATCGACCAATCAATCTCGACAGTGACTCCGCACTGCGGGGAAATGAACCAATCACGGCGGTGCTTGTCCCAGGACGCCAGAGCGGTCTAACTACGCTTCTCGGCCCGCGGCATAAGAGCCAATCAGAGAGTCAGCTTTATCCCAGAAGCACCTAGATATTATCATAAAGGGCGTCATTTCGTCGTTTGCTTATAAACGTACAATGTAAGGTTATTCATCAGCCTGCTGTATATAAAGTAAAGAGGAGTCAAGTCATAGCAACTAATTAATACTTATATCCAACAACAAAGAGTCGTGAAGCCGAAAACCCCTATATTACTGTCATCATGCCTTCGCGATGCTTACTTCCATCACGGTCTAAGGAGAATCCTATGCTTGAAATCAACATTGATGGTCATTATGAGTCCAAAGTTTATACGTTCGGTTCCACAATCTCGGGCTTCGTCACATTGACAGCCCATAACCAACTCCCTTACCAGTCTCTCCAGATTGATCTAAGAGGCATTACTTCAACATGTGGCCACGCATTCCAGTATGGCACACCATTCAAGACTCATGTTTTTCTGCAGCTACAAATGCCAATATCTCCATCATCTCTTCCTGTCAACCAGTCATTTGAGCCAGGACAGTCGTACCACGTTCCTTTTCGATTCGTGATTCCCGAGCGACTCTCATCTACTGCATGCAATCACCAGAACAAAGCAGTTAGGGAGCGACACCTACAGCCACCGCCAACTATGGGTGCTTGGGATCGTGACGATCTTGCAGGTGGTTCCGCAAACGTCGGTTACGTGATCAGAGCACGCCTTGTGTTGGGCAAGAACAAACGAGGGGAAGAACAGTATCTGGATCAGAGTCGTTCTGTCAAGGTTATTCCAGCTCTTCCGGAGCAACCTCCCCTTAATATCAGTTCTGAGAACTCCGAGTACTGCTTGTCTCGGAGTAAGACGATCAGAAAAGGTGTCATTGGCTCAAAGATAGGGGTTATATGTGTTTCGGCCACTCAACCAGACCCAATTCTACTCTGTTTAGATGGACTCAGCGCTTCCTGGTCCCAGATACCTATCGATTTACAATACATCCCTATGTCAACCAGCGCAGAGCCACCCGTGGTACAGATCAAGTCGGCCACTATCGAAGCTTTTACGAACTTCTGGCTTGGCATAGACGGTTACTTACCAGATCACCATCAAAAGCCGTCAAATTCAGTTGCTCCAACAGCACCATGGTCAAGTTCGCATGCCATTGTTCTCCGTGGGAAAGAAACGGTAAACTGGCAGGAAGACCACCAAATCGTCCCTGAAAAGGAATCAGAGAGGAGGCCATCGGAGCCTCTGCACCTTACAAGAGATTGTGCAAAACCTCACTTCGAATCACGTTCAGCTTCGTGTGCCTCCCATTGGGACTGTGGTACATCTAAGTCTAAAGTGTACAAAGCCTCCATTTCACAATCATTCGAGCTTCCTACCGAGAAGTCTCTGTTCCTTCCTACCTTTTACTCTTGTCTGATTAGCCGAACCTACCGGATTCGAGTCACCTTAGCCATAGGCGCTTATGGCACTACGATTTCTCTCGTGATCCCACTCCAGGTGGCAGTCAATGGCTGCGACAATACTCAACGTCATGATCAGTTCAACTCCGTAAGTGCAGTAGCCATCCTTCAGCTCGAAGTATCAAGTTCTGACATGAAAAGATGACTCGAAATCGTGAATACGAACAAGCGGAAGAGGTTCTTCCTCCATATAGTGGTTTAAGATAGGATATGATTTCGACTTTCTTATTTTAGAGCAAGATATTTAGTCTGTCTTTTAACAGCATTGCAGCGTGGTGTTGCTTTAATAGACAAATAGCTCTCTTACAGCTTTAAAGAATGAAAAGTGCACTGATCGCTACATTGCCCTAAAAGAGTAATTGCAGTTCCTTATCAGAGATAAATAATCAGTGCTTTAGAAGCCTTGAGTGTCACTTCTAACTTGCCCTTCTTGACTGACAGCTTTTCAGTGTTTTGCTTTCCGCCCAACTTGCAGTTCTTGTTTGAGAATGATTGACCTATATAAATTGTTAGCAAAGGTTCCCAAAGTGGATAGATTAGTGAGACATACCTCCGATGCTAGGCTGGGGAAATGACTTGGTCTGTGTAATAGGTACAATTGTTTCACTGCTTGGTCCGGTTATACGAAGGGCCTTGACCAAATCGCTTCTCAGTCCAGTAAGAGTGAACTTAGCTTCAGAGCGTGTGCCACTACCCCAGTAGTAATCCGTGTTGATCAAGACGACATTGAAAGCTTTGCCATTCTTGTAAACGATGTATTGAGCATAGGGGTCGGTACCATCATCGCTGGCAACGATGGAGTCTCTCCGGCTATAGCAAGAGCACCGAAATAGGCACCGTAGAATGGAGCGTTGACATGATCACTCCACCACCAGTTGAAGAAGGCTTCGGGTCCAATCAGAAACGTCTGAGCATCTGGAACGAGTATTGGACGTACCTTGGTTAATAGTGCCTTGGTAATAGAACAGTCGATAAATACCGAGGGTCAATGCGCGAAGGGTCTTGTCAGTTGTCTGAATGGCCGATCCAAAAGTCAAATCCATCTCGTAATCAAGCCCATGGAATCCCGTCTCGCCTGCATAATTATGTCAGTAGGTGCAGGTTTCACAAGTAGGACACTAGGTCTCACCTAGGATATATAGCCTTCCAGCAGCCTTGGCGCTGGAGATGGGTAGCAGGCTTAGGTCCCGGACAACTCTCTGATGCTTCATCTCTGGGCCCAAGTCATCGGCGGTAGCATTAGAGAATGCGTACAAGTGGCCATTATACACCTTGGTAGCATCCTTGACCGTCTTGTTATAGCTGTTTCCGATTAGATAGGGCAGGTTAGGCCAGTCTGGTTCAATCTCAAATGGGATAGCATATCCCCTGCTAGCCAAGATGGGAAGAGGGCTCTTCCAGTGATTGACAAAGTCTTGTGCCCAGTTAGCTGTGTTATTACCCTCTTGAGTCTCGTTCCAGGGCGCTTCGGCTACTGGATACTACTAGTATTTCCAATACACTATAAGAAACAGTTAACACAGTCCTGTTGCTTAATACTTGATAAGAGATCCTACAGTCTGGCTCGTTTCCAAGTTCAATTGCCTAGAGGTACTTAGCTACCTTTTCTTTAGCCTTTAAGACGGCAGCGAAGGTGTTTGTTTTATTGTTATGCCCTTGGTTAAAGCCTATAACGTATCAGTGCTGTTTACTTCTTATAAGTTAGTTCCCTTACCGAGAATAGTCTTGCTTTTAAATTGTTCTATTTAGGTTTTTAGATTAGTATAACTTTTAGCTAAGTTATTAAAGGTTAACTTATTAATTAAGTTAAAGAACTTTAGCCTATAGGTTAGACTTATAGAAGCTTTTAAAGGGTTATTAATACTATATAAAATATAAGCTTTAAAAGTAAAATTATATATTACTCTGTTTTATATTATCCTTTTAATTTAAATAGGTATTTTATAATTATAAAGCTTATTAAAGTAACTAATATATAGTAAGGTTAGTAATATATTAGTTATATAAAAAGGCTATATAAATAACTTAAACCTTATATATAAAGTTAAATCCTTTAATTAAAATAGTTTATACTTTAAGACTTATAAGGCTTTTATAGGTATTAAATTAATTATAATAGTATTTTTTAGCTAAGTATTTAAAATAGTATAATTAAAAGTAACTAAAGTAAAACTTTTTATATTAAGGCTTATAAGTATAAAAATATAAACTATTATATTAAACTAATTAATAAAATTAAAGTAATTAACTATTAATTTTATTATTATTATAAGAATT